TCGATTGGATATAATATGTTGTAAATTATAGGTACATACATAATAATGATATAATGTTCAAGATACACGTATCGAGTGGCTTTTTAGCATTCTCCATATCAAAGCTGCAATAAAAGTAGATAAACGAAATAAAACTACAATGGTATAATAATTATTTCTAGTAAATAGGTCAACCACGATAAAAATTTCAAACATTTAATTTGACGCAACAAAACTCAAAACAGGTTTCGTCTGGTTTTATGTCCGGACACGCGTATATAACCGATGCTCGTATAACGTGTATTACCAAATTATATATTTTTTCACTCGTTGCACTCAACGCACGACTATATAGGTGTAAACAGTTTTATAGATTTGCGAATGTCACGTCAGCTTGTAACATATTATTCAATGTACCTATACATTTATATTAAAATAACTATGTAGTACAATGCGAATATTTCATACGTATTATATACACCTAACCTATGTTTGCATTGCTTGTATTATACAGCTGCGTATCTGCAGACGGCTGTTGACTCAGAAGTCGGAAGGAATAACAACAAAAAAAATTCAACTTATATCGACTTAAACATATTGTTTTTATTAAGTGAATCGTGTGGCACAGTATATTTCGTTTCAGTTTTTTTTTTTTTTTTAAATGTGCAGCGAAGCCGCACAGTAATTTATACCTTTGCTCGTAACGCTTAAAATTAGGCATGATATGTTGAGTATATATAAAAACATATCATGTGGTGTATAAGGCGACTTGAATTTAAACTGTACCTAACCTAAATAATAATACGTATTACGCTATGTACCTACATAACTTGCAATCGTATTAATATTAAATTGCAATCATAATGTCGTAATTTAGGTATGATACTTAATATTATTCGTAGATAATATATACAAATATATCATACAATACGCGGGTTTATTATACGTATATTTTATAATATTGTGCACAATATAATATATGATATCACAGTACAGGCGCATCGCTAGAGTTGAACAGAGTTACTATCATTATTATGATTTAATTATGACTATTATTATATTATGATACAGAGTACCTATCGTTTCGAATATCTTACCAAAATCCTTTTCAGCTTCTCAAAAACCATTTAGCACATAACATATTATATCAGTATAATATGCGGCGTACTCGTAATACTACATAATATACCTACACATTGTAATAGAGGTGCTATCGACTATCGTGTTCAATTCGTACGATATATAATATATAATAACGCTGAAACGTAATTATACCACGCGTACATTATGAAGACGGCAGCCGTAGTCGTTCAACCCGATAATCGTAATTCAAAGTATAAATATAATAATATGTACGTATTATATTTCATACAGTCAGTTGCACGCGTTATTCATTATTATTCTCGATTTCGTTTATTATTGCTAATACAAATCGTATTACGATGTCAAATCTAACGCTATGTCGCAGCACAGTAAGTATATGATGCTAAAAATAATCGTCTGTATAGTATGTAGGTACCGCAAAATTATAATACACAAATACCAGACATTATATTATGCGTATATAAAATATAATGAGCGTCAAATAACCATAAACTTTTAGACGAATTAGACGCACTATATATATATATATATATATTAATATAATAATATTATGGTCTTCCGATACACCGGTGGAGTGTATACCGTGTGCAGGCCCGCCCCACACGACACTCGTATAATACACACACACACGCGCGCGCGTTTACGTCGTTTGCATTTGCGTCCTTCCGTCCTTTTTTGCCCGCGACGTGTGCGACGTCCAGCCACCCGTCGTTTTTTCCGCTGCCGTGTTACCCGTCACGTCGCGCTCAAAAAAAAAAAAACCCTTAACCCCCCCCCCCCCCCCCACCGCTTCAAAAGCGCAGTGCCCGCTCGCAGCAGGCCGACGACTGCAACGTTATGTCGGTGTAATAATATATTGTTTTTCGGGCTTTACCGTCTCGCCCCGCGGGCGGGTGCGGTGTGAAAATTAAAACGCAATATCGCGACAACAATAACAATATTATCTCCGTGCGACGATTACGCGCGTGTTGAGCGGGCGCACGCGCGCTGTCGCTCTCTTCGGGAGACCGAATGGCGCGGACCCGTCGGCGGCGCGGTTCGCGGGCGCGGGGGGGCGCCTGGGGTGAACGACGGCGCGCGGCGGACGGGTATACGACGATATTGACGCACGGCCGATCGCGGCGCAGAAGAATGGGCGGCCCGCCGTAATTGGTCCCCCGCGACCGCGGCCATATTGAACGTAGCGCGCGGACGTCCCCCCGCCGCGCGGTGACGACGACGCCGGCCGAGAACGCCACCGCCGACATTCAAGACCGCTCGTCGGCCACCGAACGCCACCGCCGCCGCCGCCGCCGGACGACGACCCGTAACCCCCCCGTGGGTACAGCTGGACGTCCGGACGGGCGAGATGTTTATTTTTATTCCCGCGGCCACGACGTATATAATATATATTTTATTCTTTGATAATTAGGTATATTATTATTTTTGTATTCCCGTCGTCCCGCGCACGGTCGATATTCAGTCTCTCTCCGAAACGATTAGTTTCACTCCAGCCCCCCCCCCCCCCCCCCCCCCCCCCCCCCCCCCCCCGCCTGGTTTTTTTTGTTTTTTTTTTTTTTTTGTTTTTTTTTTTTTTTTTTTGTTTTCAATATCCAGATAAACCGACGTTACATAAATAGATTAGCTGCAGGCCTGCAAACAAACCACAAGTTTCAAAGTCTGCAGGCGCAGAGTAGTCATTTCAAGTTTGTCGTTTTTACGATAAATACGGCACGTGTACAATAATAATATAATACGCAATCGTACAACTCTTATTTGTTTAACCTTGCCAGCAGCAGTTGAAGTATGAAATAACGCTTGTGTAGTATATAGTCTCCCCCGGATCCGGTCACTCGACGTCTCCACTCAAAGCATCCATACACTCTGCAGATGACCGACTTCAAACGACTAAATGGTAATACTTAAAACTAATAACGATTAATTAAGAAAATTCTTTAGGGCCCCTTCATTTTTAAACGTCGATTTAGGTACTTACTGACTTGTAGATTTCGAAAAAATATTTGCGAAAATCATGTGCTGATTAAAATGCAGTTGTATAGATTTGTCCATTTTGCTTTTTTCGTTGCGGCGATGACAATATAGAAATAATAACATCATTAACATTACCTATACGTACTACAGTAGGTACATTATATTGTGATCACATGTTTGCTTTATACCTATATGGCTACATAACGTGAAGACGTGTACACCAATATTAATCGGTTGCAGTATAAGATATGTGAACAGTAAACATGATGTCTGCGAAGTAACGAACCCGACCACGATATTATATGATGTAGTATAGATGTATTATGTATGCATTCGTCTACTAAACTACATTGGTTAATCGATCATCCTTTGAATGAGTTGTTTACTTTAAAAATAACTTTCCAATAATATTTATTAATAATATATGCGTACCTACGTCTGCACTCTGCCGTCATCGAAAACTAAAACTCTCCAGCATTATAAATAAATCATAGATTTATAATAAACTGTCCATATGAATACACGAGTAACTAGTATATATGGTACTATTACTGCAGTAATCAGTAATTAATAACTATATTATACGATAGGTAATATAAAACCACAATACTTGTTTCATTTCAAAACCAATCGATTTCAATACAATAGGTAGATTATCTACCTCTATATAGCAAATTTCAATCTTGACGACGAAGAGGATATTATTGACCTATATTTATGTGCATCAACTCGTATATATAATTAATTAATATTGTTGTTATATATATAATATTAATTGATAAGCGTATATAATATATACACATATGTATAGCTATGTATAGGAAATAAGAATTAATAAGGTTATACATGAGGTATATAAAATATCATACCACCGTATAAAATTTATGAATAATAATGAACGAAATGTTATATAATGTACTTGTGTCAACAACGAGTTTTATTAATGATTTTTTTTCATTTTATCTCAATATTATTGCTATTTATAATAATATTCGAGTTTATATTATATTATGTACATAAAAAAAAACATTCATATAAGGGGTATATATAAATAGGATTGGCACTTGTACACAAATTTTACCCTATCTTAAAAATTAGTCTACTGTCATATATAGATACATACATATTGTAAATATGTTTAGTTTACAAACGGCTTTATTTACATATATGAATATACACGCGATCTGCAATACCATTTATTATACTTATAAATATATATTTTTATATATATTTACGTTATGCGAAAAATATAAGAATTTGTTCGACAAATAAAATTAATAATATGCGTAAAGCACGGTTTCCATCGGACAAAATATACATTGCAATTTATAAATGTCCGACGATACAGAAAAAAAGTCTTATCACAATAAACAACACGTAAATAATAATAATAATAATAATAATAATATTATAAATACCTACATTTAAACATAATATTATAGCCGACAAAAAAAATATAACGATCTCTCGGCACATCGCGACAGTGAACTCGCCGCGTCGATTCGGATCTGGGCGTATATATAAATATATAATATGTAGCATAAATATATACCGGATATCTATATATTTATATATACCAACAGCGGGGTGGAGTGTGGATGGCGTTACGTTTTGTATGTATGCATATAGAGGAACTCGTTAAGACAATATTGATTCACAATAAACAATAATATCATGATATATCATTAATATCGCGAGATTCGATGGTATAGTATCGTTAATATATAGTGCGGTGGCTGTACCTATATAGTCGGTTATCAAAAATTAAACGTTCTTCCGCCCTCTGACGACGGTTCATTATTATTTTTTTTTTCTTTTGCGGGTGACTAGTTTCCGTGTACAACGATAGTAGTAATAGTAATAGTAGTAGTAGTAGTAATAGTACATATTATAATAATTATAATAATAATATAATATTAATAATAATTGTAAAAGAGAATGTTATTTTATACATAATAACAAATATCATTATAATATCATATTGTAGGTATATAATAATAAAATAGAACGAAATAGATACGCGGCGCGTATAGTCTTTAAATACCGTTTTGCCGTGCGCGAGGTTAGGTTACCTAACCACTAGACGCTCGTGGTGGACCCTGGGCCCCCGCCGCCCATCGACGGGGTGGGCGACACGGGGGTGACGGACCGCCTACCGGCGGGCGACATCGACGAGCGCGCGGGCGGCGTATGAGTTTGCTGTACCTGTCCGCCGGCGGGCTGGTGAGTGGGCGGCGGGCCCTGTTGCTGTTGCTGTTGCTGCTGCTGCTGCTGCTGCTGCTGCTGCAGGCCTTGGGCGATGAGGTGGGCCATGGTGGGCCGGTGCGACAGGAGCGATTGCAGTTGATGCGGGTGACCGAACAGCTCGGACGGGTGCTGGAAGTAGTGCGGCAGGTGTGGGTTGCCGTACAGCGGGTGGTGCGGCCTGGCCGCGGCCACAGCGGCCATCTTCAACTTTTCGATCTCGGCCTCTTGCAGCCGTTTGGCTTTGGCTCTCCGGTTTTGGAACCATATTTTCACCTGTTAATTCGTACATACGTCGCAGAGATTAGTAATGCGAAAAACAACAATGTAATCATATCAATATTAGACTTGGCCAGTTTATACCGATAACTGCATAGTTTTAAAACTATGTTAGGGTTAGTTAACTGATATACGATAATAAATTATGGTAAAGTGTTAAATTTAGTTTTAAAAAAAGTTAGACATCTTATCGAGATTTTAGTTTTGTCTTATAAATGTATTATGTTTTTTTTCTTTGTTATATAATTACACATTTGTCTCGTATTATTATTTTTAAATACTAATCATTTCCCTTACAAGCATTCCTTAAATGAGGTGAGTAAACTCAAATAAAAAAAAAAAAATAAATAACACCTCATGTACTTTTATTTTAGCTTGTGAAATAAATAAATATACAATAACGATGATGCAACTCTTTTATCGTGGGTAAAAGTAGTTATTTTATTTTTACTATCTATTCAATAGTGCCAGAATTTACTAGTCAAATAATATATGCACATTTTACCGCCCACCAAAAGATACCAGACCTGTGGGGAGAGGCTATTCCAACAAAACTAATTGCAAACGGATCTTAAACAAACAATTATAAAACTTTATACTTAACGTTTCTTAACGTTCTTTACAAATTTTGTGAAGATGAACACAATATTTCGACAGGCATTTTGTTATTCAGAACATTGTGATGTGCTCAATAAGGTGCATATACCTTAGAGCTAGTATACTCCACGCCACTAATTAAATTATATAGTCATACATGCGATGCATAAAAAAACCCGAAACCCATAACTTATCGCTAAAGTCGCATGTACATAAATAAATAAATACAAAACGATTGCGTTACCTGTGTTTCAGTCAAGTGTAACGAATTGGAAAACTCGGCTCGTTCGGCGATGCTTAAGTACTGCTTTTCCCGGAATTTTTTCTCCAGGTTCAACAATTGTTGCGTAGTGAACGGCGTTCGGGGTTTCCTGTTGGGTTTGTGCTTCCGCAGGTTACACTTGAGTTTGGGCGGTTCGCCGTTGTTGGAATCTGAAAGAGAAAACGGAAATGAGCACACTCGATAAACAGTACACACATAGATAACGATATTATAATATATTGTGAACGAATAGTAATAATAATGATTAATAATTACACGATAAAAGCCAAAAGGTTTAATAGACGTAATTTATGATAATAATAATAATTAATACGATATCGTTTCGCAGGCGGAACACCACACACTCATAAAAAAAACTTAGGATACGAGCTCATAGAGCACGCGCACGAGCGCGTATATGTGTATCGTCCGTCTATAAATACGCTGTGTGTCTGAATTTATATATATATACATAATAGAAATCGACGATTAACGACGATAAACGGTGACAGCGGGCGCGCTCGCGTGTGTGTGTTTAAAAATTTGTGGCAAATAATTTAAACGCGTGAAAACCGAGGCCAAAAAATGTAAAACCTACAGACTTATATGCGCGACGGCGGCGATATCGACTATACAGTAATATATTGTTCGCGTTTAGGCCAGTTTTTTTTTCTTAGTTTCCTCTTTCTTGGCACGACCCTCGCGCGTTTGTCCGCGTCTGCGTTTGTCATCGTTACATGATGTCGTTGTGTGTGTGTGTGCACTCCGCGCTGCCGGGTCGGGCCTCGCGCCGATTAACACATTTTACGTTCGTTTTAACGTGCATTTGTCTCGGTCGCCCGAGAGAGCAATTAGACGCCGCTAAAAATAATAATAAAACGGCCGCCGAGAGGAACTATGTAATATACCGGCAGCGCATATTATGGTGAACGGAATAAAAAAAAATCGCCCAATTAGAGAGAGATACGACGGCGGAATGCCGCAGACGGCGACGGCGGCGTTATAGGTTATACCGCTGCAGCCGGCTAGACCGAGATCGAAAAAAAAAAGAAGTGCGCTGCCAAACAATAGCTGATTTGTATATAACCGTGGCAATTATTATTATTGTAATCATACGATTGTACACTATAACATGCAGGCACCTACCGTGTTGCAGCGTCCATTGTCGGGCGTGTAACAATATAGCGCATTAATATATTGTCGTCGGAGCGCGATAATCGTTATGATAAAAATACGTAGAAGTGTCCTACAGTAGGTAGGTACCCGTGTATACCAAGTATATACCTATCGTAAACGGTTTAAGTGATGAAATAATAATTTGAGCGCTCCAGTTCAGGCCGGCGGCGACGTATCAAAACTTATAATATGTTGTTTTTTTTTCCATTTATAATCGCCGCGGTCTCTAATCATATTATTAAATAAACGATATGCACATCATAAACATAACGTTTTTTATTCATTGTTTGTTCCCTGAGCAGACAAATTGACAACAGAACGATCTACGAGATATCAATAATTAGTGTTATATACGGTGATAAGCACCTAAATATTATATTATATTTGTCCGATACGAACGTGTAATCACTGCGGAGATAATGTTGGCATGAACGTTGTTGGTACACTATTTGTTAGCGGTTTTGATTATTTAGGTAGCTATGCATATATAATATACTATATAGGCATTAGTTATTTTCGAGCAAACTATTACTATGCTATCTTTACCTTTGTTGCATTTACGTTTTATAATTAAACATTTAATTGATACATCGGATAGTGTAATATTATGATATAATAGTTGTTCGTTAATCATAATTTATAATAATCCTATATTTATCTAAATACGAACCTATGCTTAAATATTGGATGTAAAATATTAAGTAGGTAACCAAAGTATCAATATTAACATTCAACTTAAACGAATTAAAAAAAAAAGAAATACTTTTATTATAGTTTATATACTGCAAATATATTCTGTAATACGGCTTGTGATTATATGTTTATTGAGAAACTTAAAATGTGTTTCGAAACCGGTACATCAATAATTGTTTATTCAGTCTTTATAGACATTATTTCGTGTATAAGGTATGTAAAGTTCACCTTAGTTTATCATAAAAAATATTAATTATATATATTATACATAATAAACAATAATAGTAATAAGTTAGCTACAAATATTGACTTAAAATGTTATAACGACGGTATGTAAGACGAAAAGCGGTGTGCTTATAAAAAACGCATATCATAAAAATGAAAAATGACAAATTCTATACTATATTATTATTATAAAAAGCCAGAAATGAGATAAACGCATCAAATATTATACTTCGAACGATGAGTTTCCTAAATTATAAGGTCATATTATAATTAAGTTGAGCAACTACACCTATTTCAATTCATTAAATACTTTTTACAGTTGTTAATAATATGAATAGGCACTTCGGCGATATTAAATTAAGCGAACAATTTAATGAAAATCTAAAACTGTATAGGTATGTATATTGGTAGATACACACAATAATAAAAGTTTTTTAAATAATTAATTGTATAAGTTTATATTTGTACGGATAATGTATATACAGGTAATTATTAATAATGGAAATAATAAAGAAATTATTAATGTCGGAATAAATCGATACGTTCTCTCGTATATGAAATTATGGAACAATGCAAATTCGCATTTATAATAAAACGAGTGTTATTATTGTTTGAATATTAACGACTAACGAGCAATTTTAACATATTAGTGCAAATGCAAATCATATAATCATATACAAAACATATAGGTAGATCACATGGTGATATAGAGTAAATTAAAAATATACAAAACAGCTCTAAATTAATAACAAATTAACGAGATTAGAGGGACAATATAAGAACTATAAAAATTAAAACTCATACCTATAGAATTAGCGTACCTAATGTATAGAATTCGCCATAAATTATTATGACATTTTGACTCTTAATCGAATTATTGATATAGCACTTAGAACGATAATAGGCACAGTTGGAGTGCCGAACATCGACCGTTGAACTTTTGGTCCCCGAAAACATTATGATAATAAAACGATAATATACGATAATGAACTGCCGATAGCAGCGAATTATTATAATTCATAACAATATCATCCCGAGTCGCATCATCAATTAATATTCGGCTAATTGCCAGCAGCTATTGGTTTCGTATTATGGAACGGTACAAAAACAGAGAAGTCTTCTGTGTGGAAATCATGTAGAGGGATAAAAATAAATGCCGACAATTACCTGACTGTTATGCCAACAATAGACGTTCTAAAAACAGTGTTGTCAAGCATACGTCGCGGGGGGAAAAAAAAAAGGTTTTTGACACCGATTTAATAAACACACGCGGGGGCCCGCCACCGTAGGTACCACAGTCGAACTTTTAATTATTATAATACATTAGGACGATTAGAGAGCTATACAAAGTGTTGACTTGAAAAACTTACCAGGCGATCCGGAGTTGAGACCGGTGGAACCGAAGCCGGGAAACGCACCGGCGTAATGCGGGTGCCAGGCCCCGGGGGCGGCGGGGTGCTGCATGCCGGCGGCCGAGTAGGCGGCTGCCGCGGCGGCACGAGCACGTGAACGGTGTAGGCCGGACGGGCGCGACGGGATGGTGATGGTGTCCACCACCGCCGGGGACGGACGCACCACCGCCGGACATCATGAACGCGGCGCGGGCGGCCATGGAGCCGCCGGGTTGCTGGAACAGGTGGGCGCCGTGGTGCTGGTGGTGCGACAGCGGCGGAGACGCGGACGCGTGAAGCGGCATCGGCGACCGACCGCGGTCCGGCGTGCTGGACGAACACCGCCGGCCGGCCGCGACGCCACCGTCGGTCGTCTCCACGTCCACGCTGTTCCGGTCGTCCTCGTCGTCGTCGGGCGTGTCCATGTCGTCGTCGTAAACGGAACCGGGCGTTGGCGACCGGACGGGCCTGGTGTCGGCCAACAGAGCGGCCACGCTGAACTTGATATGGCCGGACGGCCGGGCGGCCGCGACGACGGACGATCGCGGGCTGCTGGCCGTGTCGTCGTTATTGTTGTTGTTGTTGTTGTTGTGCAATTGATTGTGGTGGCTGTGGTGGTGATGGTGGTGATGGTGGTGGCCCACGCCGGTCGGCGGAACGCCGCCCATCATCATCGCCGTCGTCATGTTGGTGGCCGCGGCCGCGACAGTCATCATGCGCGACGGTTTGCCGTTTTGCTGCACGTCGTCGGCGCCGTTGCTGTCAGCTCCGACGGCCGAGCGTTGCTGTTGCTGCTGCTGCTGTTGCTGTTGCTGTTGTGGGCCACCGTTGTTGACGGACGGCGTCGGCGGCGGCGGCAACAGATGGTTGAGCGCTAACACTGTCATATTTGCTGCTCCGGTCGGTTCTAGCATGTGTGTCCGCACGAACCGTTTGTAAAGCGCATTCAACGCGCGCGGCTTACCACCGGCAGACCGCAGCGGACGACGCGCGCGAATTCATAAAACGAATATTTTCGATATCGATCTGCGGCGATAAACGGCGACCGTGGTAATATTGAAATTATCGTTTCTATCGAATAAAACGATAAAGCGAAAAATTAAAAAATATCAAACCGAAAAATAAAAAAATTAAAATGTGATCGATTATTATATTGCAAGCGTTAAAGCGCACACGCGATCGGTTACGGCACCGGCGTTAATGATATTCGCGGTGGTGTGCACACTGCGATCGGCGAAACGGCGAACGACAGTAATATATTTTATTGCAACAATAATATTATCATCACGTAATGCGCGGCGGAACACGGACAGTAGCGATGTCGTCGGTCGACTGAACGTCCAAACGTTTAGCGCGGCGGCTAGCTGCGACCTCGCGACGGCGGCGGCCGCGACCAGAGCGCGCCCGGTAGTGGCCGCCGGTACCGCCCACCGCGCGGGTCACGCCCATGCCGGCCCCCGGGACACCGACGACGGTGCTGCTGCCGCTGAGTGGCGGCGGCGGCAGTGGGTGGTTCAGTTTGAGTTGGGGCGAGGGGGTACGCCGTTTCGTCAATACGACGACGTCGCATCCGTCGTCGTCATCGCACGCCGCCGCCACTGACATTAAATTATTTATTGTTTTTGCCGTCCGTTCGCTACCCCTCGACAGATCGTTAACCGCCTGCAGTGGCGTATTATATCATAATATATTATAATATTATAGAAGTGGACCCCTTACGTAAATACTCGCGATAAGTGTTCCTGACCACTGCGACATTGGTGCGTTTACGAATTTATCTAACATCCCTTCTCTGTGCATATATCATAACTATTATTATACCTATAAAGAGAGAGAGAGAATGAGTGAGAGACAAGACGAAAACGCGCGACTAACTTTGTAAGGTAGGCAGGTATACGATTTCTGTACAAAATTGCCCCGTACATTATATGTAACCTGATTATAAAACATAAAATGACTATAAAATGTGAGTATAGTGTTCTGCGACAAATGACTTTCTATACACACGCCTTTATGGGTTTTTAAAAATTAGCGTTTTACTTTGATAATTACCTATATATCTACGGGTGTACCCATTATCGAATGCTCTGACAATTAAAAATAAATTAAACGTTCGTTCAAATATTTATACTAAAACAAGTTGATATATTATTATACCAATCTCTACGAAATGACCTCGATTATATTATTGTTGTTATATTATTGTTTAAGTTATAATATTATTATGGGGCTGCACGTTGGATTATAATTATTTGTTTAACAATAAAAATATTTTCAACAAATCGTCAATAAAAATTATTGATATACCACTTATTACTATATAATATACTCTAAATGACTACATAATATAGGTATATGTAAATATTTAATAATATTTAAACATTAAATGTATTATACATAGTGTAGAATTGTCAATTTTATTTGTGCCTATCACTAAAATAAATCATATAAAAAACAAATAGGTTTATCTAAATTGAATACGTCGATGTATATAGGTGTATAAGTATTAATAGGTGTGTACCTACACGTTTAATATATAATGGATATTATGAAATGAACAATAGATAGAAGTAATCGATTTAGTTCATAATCATAATATATTTGTATTTGGTACATAATATAATTATAATATTATTTTGAATAATTTATTGTATACAATAGTTGTATTTAATATATTATATACCTACTTAGTATATCATTTTATGTTATATAAATTATATAAATAAGAGTATATCTAAAAACATTTGAATTGTTTTATTTCCAAATCATTAGTTTAAATATAATTATGCGCTTATTACAATTTATAATGCATTTCGTAAAATCAAATATTATACCTTCTTTTAAATAAATCCTAGAGATTCCTAACTTATTTATCGTTACATTTTTTATGATCACAACTATATATTATTTATAAGATTAAACCATTAAATACTATCCCTTCTAATAGTTCTAATAATAATAGTAATAATAATAATAATGTATAGAACCTATTATAGCAATACAGACTATAATATATACCTACAACATAAAAAATAATAATATAGGTAACTAGATCAACGAATTATTTGGTCCAAATAAAGTAGGAGTAAAGCTATATCAAAAAGGCTGGGAAACAATTTAGAACTCATATAAGTCATAACTAAAGACATAGATATAAAGTTAGATATAAGTTATAAGTAATAATTCCAATGACTATTATGACTATATAATACTATAAAATATAGACCGTCTGCAGATAATAAATTACAAATTATGTAAAGAATTCCATTTATATACCTAAATATTGTTACACGCTGCAATTTGCAATAATAAACGTCTTTTAGTTGAATCTAAATTATTTCATGTATATACATTAATGGTATCAATGAATATTGTGAGTATATTTACGTATAATGGGTATATACTCGTAGGTATATATAGGTTTAGTTATAGGTACACACATTTAATATAACCCATTTTTTTCTTTACCGTACATATCTACATATAAGTTATAATATGTTGCAGTGCACTTAAATTATATGGATTTTTGTGCGATGAGTTTCAATCTTTGTACTTTTTTATTAGCTTATTCCGTGTCTTTATAAAAAAATATAAAAAATCATAACGATAAATAACGTTTTCGATTGAACCGTAAAAATATATATTCTGATATCAAATAATTATACATAAAAATTGAAAATAATGATAAGCACGATGGTTTATTCAAATTGTTAATTTAAACCGTATATATCTACTTTTAATATGTAAATGTATATATAAATAATACTTTTCTATATAAAAGCTGATAGGTATTCGCTGAGTGCAGGTTTACGCATCTATATAATAATATATTAGTTAAATATTTACATATATATTATTATTGCAAACCGTTTTGAAAACAAATCACTGCACTACACTGTGTATACAGTCAAAAAGGTAGGTATATATAATATGTTAATAATGATAATTGTTTGTGTATAATTTAACGTGGTTGTGGTTTTGCATTAATTTTAGATAAAGTAAAATCGCATGGGATATTTATGGTACCTAATTTATTATACCTATGTTTAGAGGTTACCTATCGCTATACTAAATAGTTGATATTTCATATCTCATCCGATTATATTTAATTCATTAACCACACTATATATAATAATATTTTATATGGCCGTTGAAAATTTATATTTTATACTAAAATAAAAACTTATAAAATCATGCGATATATTATTATTATATTGATATTAGCAATCATTATTAATATACCTACCTATACTAATTCCACCACGTCGACGACCTATTAAATATGATAATTGATATAAGTGCGTCTTAATTTGGTACAATATACTATTTAAACTATATATAATATCATATTATACATATTATCATATTATGTAGACATTTTTACGACCGTTAATTCCGATTAAATATATACCTCTATAAGTAATAATTATTATTTTATAAATACAACTCGTCATATTGTTATATACAAGCTATCATTAAAATCAATGCATTTTAATTAGGTAAGTAGACCGTTGATGAATTTGTTTTAAGAAATTATAGATGTACATAGGTACACTGATTTAATAATTTTTGTACAAGAATTATAATCAATTGCCATAGGTATATATATATACTAAGTAAAACCATTATGGCAGTGATCTCCATTAATTAATAATAATAAAAAATAGGCACTAATGAAACGGAATAGTGAAAATGTGTTAACAATAATACACTTAAATGGCATAATAATCGACAAAAGCGTAATCAATAGACTACCTGTACATTACAATAATATTAATAATTATTAAATATTTAAAGTTAAAGACGAAAAATAAAAACAAGGAGTAAAAGAACAAAATCGATACTTTTAATATTATTAAATATTTTTTTTTTTTAGAGAGTGTTTTAATAAAAATGATTTTATAATATTATTATTGAAGTGTTTGTAGTTTTATTATAAATTATGGTATATGCTATAATATCTTAATATTAATGGATTATAGAAATATGTGATGATGGAGTCGGTGATGTGCAGTTGATAGTGGTACTACAATCAGGCATACAACACGAAATCTTAACAATTACATTATACTTTATTTTGTTTCAATAATCGACTAAAATTCGTTTCACTCATACCTCCTAATTCCAACTATCATATTTTAACGTTATATTTACAAAAATAAATTATTATTATATTAAATGCGAATGACGATGAGCTTTTTATAAACTATTACGTTACAAGTGAGAGTGGAACGGTCACTGCAGCTATCACGTCGAGTTATACATATACTTATATAGTTATATTTATATATAAATAATGCGCTGTGGCAAAAGCGACGATTTGAAAATAATACACGCAGCCAAGATGAAAAAAAAAAAAAACGAAATAATTAAACAATTCCGAGATATTATCGCGTTTACACGAAGCAAATACTAATTATTGTACTCGTGGAGAACATAATGTAATATAATATATATTACCTATATATACCTGCGTAATTTAAAAATACATGTACGATGTATATAAACTTGTGTGTGTGCACAGTAGGTATATAAGGTAATATGTATATTATTATACTCATGTATATATTATATACCAATATACTTATGTGTGTAAGACTCTCACGTATACGCACGCGCGTGTATAATATATATTGTAGGTATATGTATCTATTCAGCAGCCCATTTTCTGTTTAATAATATACGCTTATTAGGTATATAGTAGGTATATTATAGAGTAATATTTTTTTTTTTTTTTTTAATTACATGAAACTTGTTTCGTTGTAAATAATAATAAAAAAAAAAAAAAAAAAACATTAAATTTTTATTTTCATCAAGTCGTTTACGCCGTCGCGGCCCAGACGATATATATCATTATACGTGTATAAACTATATACCTATATACAATAATATTATGAAGCGTTTAGCCATTGTTTAGCGTCGTTTATACATACAAAGTACTATATATATATATATGTAGTATTTACAATCTGGGTACGAAGTACTTCGCATGTGTATATATATTATCGATCAAATAGACGATAATAATTATTATGTTCTCGTGTCGCGCACTAATTGTTTAAATTAAAGCCACCATTACAGTAGGTACTTTATATACAGGCACATGGAAAATAATATTTATGCGTATAACAAATATTGTGTACTTATGCATACACACACACACACACACACACACGCGCGCGCGCGCCTTGCGCGTTGTCCGTCATAGACTCGAGCTCTACAACAAAAGACGGTTTTACATAATAATACGTAACATCATTATTGTTTATATATATGTATATATATATATATATATCTAATGACCGAAATATTTTCTTTACCACTGTATTATCACGCCGCGAC